AAAATGACCATCATCTCGAGCTAGGACTTTTCAGGAAATTATGCATGATTCTCAAACTCCTCTAATTGTGTCGTTGGATAAAAGTATAAAATGAGCCTGGAGGACGTGCTCATTTCTAGCTCTACAGCCCGAATCTACCAAACTTTTAGTGCTTGCTGTTGCTTCAACCGATACCGTTAGAGCTTTCATCTCTCCTGTCTTCGAGAAAACTGTTGCACATCCTTTTTAAACTCTTATTCCAGCTTAGAAAAACTGTATCTAGATTGAAAAGAAATCGATGAAAATGCCCTCTAGATCTCATAGTCTTTAACACTTTACACCCTTAGTAGATCAAAACAAGTTATTTTGATCCTGATATCCTTGCTATTCTGCAAGTCGACTCTCATGTTACACGATGATCCTCTAGTGCTACGGTTTTAATTTAGATTACCCGAACAATTTGATATCCTTCTCATTTCATTTACACCTTTGTCGAGGGTTATGAAATCTGTAGGTGGCTTATTTATGCTTGCTGTTTGCAGATCGTGTCAAAGTTCGTTCAGCTTACAAAAGAATTGTGCTACGACAGCTCCATAATCGTTACAAGAGTGTTAGCCTAATAAAATCTATTGCATAATGTTTTCCTAGTCATCTGGAATGGACAAGTATTTGAAAGCAATTGTTCAAGAATTTTTTTGAACACCAGCAAGTGGTTTAGCTTCTGCCTTACTTAGCCATTACCGGGGTGTGGGATAGACCTACCTCCACGTGGTGCACCCTGGGCAACGTATACTCATACGGCAAAAAAGTCTATGAACCGGCAGTTGACTTCTGACTTCAAAATGCCATGTCACGACTGCTTGTCATATTCGACCGCTTTCACAGTACTCATCTTACCTTATTCTCTGCCTTTGTGTCTGCCTTTTTACATCGGTGAATCGCTCTTCTTTTCCCCACTTTGATGAACCTTCCCTCTGTAAAGCCCGAAGTCAGCTAAATGGCTAATGATAGCTATCAAAACGCCTGCCATTTGAAATAAATAAACTTAGCCATTACCCTAGAGATTCAAGTCCATGATCCCGCATACAACGGGATTTTGATGGATCTGACACAACGGTCGCCCATATCTTGCACTTAAATTAGGTCTTAGTTAACTCGTTCAAGTCTACTTCAACTGCCGTGTTGATAGATAGTCTCAGGCATGTATCGACATACGAGTGCTTGCCAAAAACCATTTTAACCATTGACCCCCCCCCCCCTTAATACGCTGGTTGGAGTTACAATATTGCCCTTCACAATCTAATCACAAATTCAGCGGTCAAGCGAAACAATTCGTCCTTCCCTTGAAGTGAGGTGAGAGAACAGAAATATTCTTGACGAGTTTATTATATTTTAGCCGTGAAACAACCAGAGTCCAGCAGAAATGCATAGTGATAAAAATTCTATACGAGCCGCAAGAACTTACTTTTCCTCAATTCATGCTTATTTGAAATGTTAGCACCTTTAACCCTCCTAGAAGTTTACGCCAATGATGTTTGGGGAGGATGACGCATAAGCGGAAGTCAACATCAGAGCTCAGTGAGGTAGTGTGATAAGTGAATTGGAGGTTGATGATCAAACTAAGGTGCGTCATTAGAATAATCACCAATAGGCCCCAAATCGTATCAACGGGGAAGGTCCTTTAAATGTCATCTAGGGTGATTTTACCTCCCAGCGCTGGGAAATAATGGATAGCCGGAAATTCACCATCTCTAAACAAATAAATATTCGTTTGGAACGTTCTAGGAAACCCCTGAAAGATTCCAGCGGGAACCAAAATTCAAGTATTAAGATGTAAAACTTTCGCTCCGAAGGTGTTGGTAGAATGGAACAATTGTATTCAAGAAGAAAGGAGCCAAAGTAACGAATCGGCATATTTATTAAGTCGACTATTAATTATTTACAAATTTACAGCGCTGGATCACTTTACCAGGCGTTCAACTGCAACTTGATCAATGTTGCAGTCCATATTTAAAGATACAAATCTTACCCACACTGAAGATGGTCATTAGTTGCCTAATTTAAAATGGTAATGCTTTATAGGGTTGGTTGCTTTAAATGATGGTGAATTTTACCAATAAACAGGCTAGCATTTACCGCGAGGATTTCCGAATACTGTCAAGTACATTTGTAAAACTCGTCGAATTTAACGTGTGACCGCTGGTTTGGCGCATTTTGGCCAATTTGGGAAAAAACCCACCGATTGATTTTTGGGTCGATTGAGGTAGCTGCCACAGTTTTAAATGTTATTCTCATGAGAAATATCATTTCAAGGTCAATACTGCTTATTTGCTCAAGCGCCATTCTAACGGTTCTTACATCCTTGCATCAATGTCAGTATTCAATGTTCATCACATTTTTATTCATATATCGCGATGCTCTTATAGAAACAATTGCCATGTTCAATGCACCTTTTTGGTAGAAATTTTTGTTCTGTCATTCAATTGGCCAATTCAAAGTACTGCAATAGTTTACGCCGCCTATCTAAATGAGTGCTTTTCGAGGGTTAGATTTCCACAAAATGTCCATATCATAGGTAGGTAGGATGTTCTAGATTTAGACCTTTCGTCTTGTGACGTTCCTACGGCACTCCACCAAAGGATTTGTAGAAGTTGTGATTCGAAGTGACAGGGACGATTGCCTTTATTAGAGTTTCGGTTCAGGCTGGTCATGAAAGTTTGAAGTCAGCTGCCGCTTTCTAGACTTTTTTTGCTGTATGAATGCACGTTGTCCAGGGTGCATCACGTGGAGGTAAATCTATCGCACAGACAACGACAGAGACTCAGAACTAATGGGAAGGCAGAAGCCAACTAAGGGGTAAACGTTGTCACCTCAAATACCTTCAATGGTTAATATTTAGGACAAGGGATGTGAGATAGACTTACCTCCACGTGGTGCACACTGGGTAATGTATATTCATACGGCAAAAAGTCTATTTACTGGCAGTTGACTTCTCACTTCAAACTACCATCACCTCAACATATGTTCTATTCGACTATTTCCATAGTACTCACCTCACCTTTTTCTGCCGTTGTATTTGTCTCTTACATCTTTGAAACACTCTTCTGTTCCCCCCCCCCCTCTCGATTTTTTTTTCAATTTGATGTTCTTTCCTCTCTGTGAAGCCTGAAGTCAACTAAAGGGCTAATGATAACCGTCAAGACGCCTGCCATTTGATATAAATAAATATTTTGGATAACTTTCAATGTTGATCTTATACTCTATCCGAACTTTTTTCCTAAGCAAAGGCAGTGAATAATTATTTTGCCAATTGTTAAATGTAATCAGCTTCTGATTCCTTTTATTTGTCAGGAAATTTAGAATTCATCCAATGAATGTTAGTGAAACTAATGAAACCAATGTAAAGCCAATCAAATGGCCTCTTTGTTTAAGCTGATAATTGAAAAATTAAGTTCGCTGAATTACTTCTAATGGTATGCAACCTTAAGCTTTCTCGGTTAACCCTAGTGGTCACAACGAAAACTTAATACGGCTAAAATAAAGCCATATGACGTAAGTCATACGAGTTAACGTAAACAACTTAAAGGTTAGTCAACAATTCAATGATAAGGAGAAGTAAATAAAATTTACAGCATCATTATCGACAAGCAAAAAATTTTATAACTTCACAAAGGCATTTATTAGAAAGCATTTAAAATTTTCAGCGTCATTCGAATTCAATGGGCCAACCGAAAATACGGAGGCTTATGCAAAATGAACAACCACTTCATGACTTGATCTTGCCAACGTGTACCCCCCCCCGTTTGAGCTCTACCTCATAAGGGTTCATGCAACAATCAATCGGCTCCATAACACAAAACCCTACTCAAGATGAATCTTTGAAAGCAATTCCATAAATGCCCTTTGAAAGGGCCATTTTAAACCAATAGTAAACAAGTACCCCCAAACCACTGTCCTATAATGCTTCTCCGACCTTAAAAACAGGGCTGTTACTTTAAAAGGGTTAGCCATATCTGGCTTTACAGTGTGTATAAAGAACTGTTAAACATAATTTCAAAATGGCAGCATTACAAGTGCCCATTTTAAGATAAGTGCCTTAGAGGGTTGCTTCAAAATAAACCACCGCAAAGTTACCGACCAATGAAAAGAGTAAAGGTTCACAAATCAACGCAAAGATTGTCAAGGCAAACACAATTAAAAAAAACTAAACCACCATTATGGAAATTGAGAGGCATATTTCGAGGCAAGATATTCCTAGTAATGGGGTGTGCGATAGACTTACCTCCACGTGGTACACCCTGGGCAACGTATACTCGTACGACTTCTCACTTCAAACTACCATCAACCCATTGTATGTCATATCCGACCACTTCCACAGTATTCATCTAACCATTTCTCTGCCTTTGTGTCTCTCTTTTAAATCAGTTCCCCACCCCTCAGCTTTCTGTTACTGTGATTTTCCTTCCCTCATGTGAAGATCGAAGTCAGCTAAAGGGCTAATGATAATTATCAAAACGCCAGCTATTCGAAATAAATTATATTCCTATTAATAAACTTTTTCATAGATAAGGACCCAACTCATTGGGTGATGGTAGCAAAAGCGATTTTTTCAAGCACAATTCCTGTTCCAACAAAATCGAAAACTGGTTTGATCACGAACTTGTAACCTATTCCCAACCCCCCCCCCCAAGTTGCCTTATACCTGAACCGAAAAGAGTACTATGTCACGAGTGGCAAACTAACTTGAAATAAGACAAGAGGCCAAAAACCATGTCTTTATGAAATTTCACATGGCACCAACTGGCTAACAATATGAAAGTTCATGGAGGAGTAGAAGATAAGAGGGGTAAACCAATGCAGTGGCAGAATCTACGAAACTAGAAATATCAAGCACCTCTGGTGGCCAGTTTTAAAAAGGGATATTGAGAGGGAGGAGAGTAAATGAAGTTGAAATTGGCATTAATTTATGGGGATGTCGCAATGGGAATAAACCACTTAGTCACACAAGTCCACACAGTTCCTTAGAGATGCACATTCGTGCTTGAATTCACATTTGTTTCGTGTTTTAACCAAGTTCGATTAAATTCTTCATACAACTTGTCATCAAGATACAGAGGATTTCCACGTCTAAAAGGAAAACAGAATACAAACGATACCACTTCTAAGGGACATTTTCAAATATTATCTGATTACTCACTTAAGTCCAATATCTGATTCCCCAAACTCGTCAGTATAGGGACTTCCCAACTCAGCGATACGTCGTGCTTGATCAGAGAAAAGAAGTACCCCACCAGAGAACAACATAACCAGACCGTAGCCAGCATGGAATCTACGAATATGAGCCTGAATATCGAAAACCACCGTCTCTCTACGTCTCGAGGATGCAGATTGGGAAGTATTGGCATTGCCAGAGAGGTTAGTGTTAACAACCGGAATTGATTCAGACCGCCTGCAGCTGTAGCAAGCGAAGCAGGCTACCGCACCACAAACCAAGCACAAACTAGGATCAGAATGAATGTTGCTTCCACGATGAACACCTCTAGTAGAATTGAATAAAAATTATGATGAGGATATGAATAAAGCAAACAGATCTACAACATTAATAACTCACGATACATTTCTTCATCCTCAAAATAGAAAGAAAGTCACTCAAGACCCATTACAAGTAACGTGAGGTAATTTTTGAGCCTTCATTCTATCACGAAAGGGCCGACCAAATTACAGTGACGAAGTTCATAAACGACAAGGAAACAATATCAGTCTATCAACAGTTAAAGTTGAATCAGGAACTGGAAGTTCGATCGACTCAAATCTAAATTGACTACGGGGATGCACCTTCCCCAAACCACGTATTATATGCCGTAAAATTCTCTTCACTTTACATCAATCTTGTGAAAATACCTTTCTACTTACTTGATTTCAGTAACCAGAGAAATTAGCGTTGCGTAGTCCTTGGGTAGTTGAATAAGACGTGGAAGCTTGATGTAAGGCTCAGGAAGAAGGGAGAGATGTTCATCACCTGAAGCAGCGGGTAGGGTGAAGTACCGAGGTAACAAGTTTTTGGAGTACAGCCTACGAGCAACAGATTGGCGACCGAGGAGACACCAAGAGGTCATAAGACTAGCAAGCCAGAGGGAGCTAGATGTTGAAACCTCGGGGGAAGCTGGACTAAATGTCGGCTGTGTTGGAGCGATGGACGAACCGGCTGCATCATCAGAGAGAAGCACCAGGAGGTCCGATGGGGCTTGAGGAAGACCCAGGTAAGCCAAAAGTAGACTGAATTCACCTAAAGGTGAGGAAATGGAAATATAAACAGAGTAAATAAAACGGCCCAATGGTTTGATGATTTGGCAAAGTTCCAAAATCCACTTTTGAAGGTGTTTTCCAACATTTAGAAACGTCAGAAAATGCAGTTATAGAACCCCGAATTCCGTTATTCTTTAGCCAGGCCAGGCATTTGGTTACAAAAGAAGGTAAGAGTGTAGAAATGAAAAGTGCCGTTTGAAAATAGAACATCATAAAGCACCAGTTTAATGGTCTCTTGTGAAATACTTTAGTCTTAGAATGCCCAGTAATCGGCACACAATATATGTCATCTCTCTAAACATGTAAACAATAGTTACATGTTGCTCAATTGGAGACAAGTTTACATTCTTTCTTTTTGCGAAACTCATCTAGATGACTTCGGTAGCTTCTACATAGAAAAAATAATAACCTTTACGATGATATCTATGTTTAATATTGACGACAAGACAAGCATGTGGTTGCGTGACTATAGTCATCTGAACTTTGAAAGTCTATAGTCGAAGAGAGAGGTTTCTGTGAATAGGTAGAGATTAGCCTTCCCCCCCCCCCCCGCTCTTCTTTCATCAAACTTGGATGGATTCACTCTGCTACAATATGGAGACCCATATCAGGTATTCGGATTGGAGACAGGGTGGGAACTCTGTTATTCCTCTTATTCTAAACAGAGGTGAGTGATCGTACAATACATATTTGCACGAAATTGGCAACTAAAAGGCACCGATTTTAGAGAATGGGCTAGAAGGCAGGAGTACAAATTATTGAAATGGTACACATTGTAAGTGAAAGCTTAGTTTTTAGGGAATGCGCTATCACCCGTTTAAACTCCTTTTGACTTACACCAAACAAGATTAAAAGAATTCCACCAATAAAAATCGACCAACCACCTAAATTGGCTCCTATTTATGACCGGTGAATAAGTCTCGAATACTATACCTGTCTAAGACAGGCACATATCCACCTGCTGCATAGCTCTACGAGTTTTAAATAAAAATCGACAAAAACTTAGCCCCTCTTGTTCAAGTGACCCTATCCAGCACCTTGCAAATCCACGACTACAACTTACATGACGCTTCCTCCGGTCTCGGATTAGACAGCTCCGAGGGGACGTCTACACTCGTGAACAGGGAGATAAGGTAGGCAGCAATACGCAAGAAGGGCAGGCAATGCTCGTGGATATATGAGAAGAGGTGCGCGAGGTTTTCAGCAGTAGCCTCAATTGTGCAAACAGGTAGACCAGCCAGGTGCTGTAAACGGCGACGTACAGCCAGAAGCTGAGAAAAGAGAGAAGGGGAGGGACTAATAAAAATCAATTGGAAATTCAGCTTTATAGAATGGGGAATGGTCACTTACTTTATCAGTCATCCAAAGGAAAGCACAAGGCTCCTTCACAGCATCAACCTTACTATCACCACTGGTTTCATCACTAACTGTGTCTCGTTTCCACGAAAGAAGGGTCTGAACCAAGAGAGCAAGGAAGCAAATACGAACTGTGAAGGCGTCATGGCTGTCGCCAATTGGAAGACGCGGGAAGCCGTCGTTACAAGTGACATCTGACAAAAGTTCCTTCGATTCGAGTTCCTTGACACGCTCCCGTTGAGCATCTCGTTGACAAACCACGCGATGACTGACAGGTTCCAACCCAGGTCGTAAAAAGAGAAGATTAACCAGGAGATAGGATATATCCGCCTGAAAAAGATGCACGGATAGAGATGTTAATGATCCACAGCTAATTTTCAATTTATACTCATTATAATTAAACGACAAAGTATGCTTACATCCCAAATGAGACTAGCCGGAATTCCAAGGCTATCTGGAGATGGTAGAGTAGAAGTGGCAGCATCAACTGTTGGGACAGCCGTGTACGGATCACGCGAAGAAGGACCTGGAACTGGTTCTTCTTCACACAGACTACTAGAGTCCGGCAGCAAGAGACGCCAGAGACGGAGAGCATCCTGGGTAACAGCTATACGCAAAATGTTCTCCGTTGCATTTGGGAATTCCTTCATGTAGGCATGGGAACAATGACTGTTTACCTTGGAGTTTTCTGAAGATGGAAACAAATGTTTTTATTCATAAGATAAGTAAAGATAAGTATTGTTTACTCTAAAGTACAAAACTATCCCAATCAATGAGTACTTGCCCGCAAAGTTTACCTCACCTACCAATCATAAAAGCTATGAAAAACTACCTCGATACCCGGAATAATGTTGTGCCTAGAAACACATGAAGATCACTCAATGAGCGTGAATACTAGAGATTAATGATTACAAAAGTTAATACATTTCTTAACATCAGTTCAACTAGCTCCCCCCGTATGTGTCCTACACACTAGACCTGAATTACTCAAAAAATCTGGTCCTGAAACGCATGAATAGTACAAACGGATGTGCGAGACATATTAACTTACCAAAAACACCCTCTGTGGTAAAGTAGCAATAATACCACCACCATTCTGCATCATCTCGATGGCGAATCCATTGACGCATTTTGGCATCTTCATCCAAAGCACCAGCATCCACCACGTTCTCAGCATCATTACCGACCGTCAAACCAAAAACACTTCTTGAAACAGGCGCCAATCGTGAATGAGCAAAGAATGCTGCATGCACAACTTGCATTAAGGGCCTACTGTGCCGCTCAGTGAAGTGCTCCGAAAAAAAGTGGCTATGTGGACCGAGTCGACGCAGATACTAAAAGTCAAAACAGTGAATAAACCTACTGAATAGAATTAAATAGCAAAGAAGAAGTCTTGGGAATTGAAAACTTGCCCTCTCCCATGATAGTATAGTGTACGCAATAGTATGACGAAGAGTTCGCATTGTAGAACTAGCAGCCGAAAGTGCCTGTAGTGCTCGGCCTCGTGTGCACAGTAGAGAAGCCTTCAATCGATAAGGAAGTCGACTTGAAGACTGTGAATCAGCTGATGGCTCATCACTTAGAATAACAAAGTGAGAATAGGAGCTCTTAAGGCTGGTGCAAAACTCATCTATAGCCTCGCAGATACACGGTGGTAGAATGGCGGCATTCATCACCTTGGTACGTGAACTGCTCCGTGTGCTTGCCGCGGCGTTGCGACTATGGAGCCAGCTTTGAATTTGTACATTGAAGAGGGCGGGTGGGGCAATAAGTTGCACGCCTTGTTGTTGAAGCATTTCAAAGAACGCATTCGGAACATCCATTTCCTCGTCATTGTCTTCGTTATCATCCATTTCTAGCCAAGCTGGCATGTTTTGCTCGAATTCCTCGTTCTCCATTTCAGCTACAAGACAAGACAAAAACAATAAAGTCGAATAAAGGTGACTTACTGATGAACTGTCGCACATCGTAAAAAAAATTTCCAGCTACCAAATCACATCTGTTCTGGATTTTTGTTTGGGTGTAAATGGAACGCTAATCGTTAAGCTGTATAATACTGTAGATTACCAGTATTTGGAGATCAAAATCCCTAACCGGCTACTTTATTTAGGTTAGCAACAATAAATAATAGCCAAACAACTTTTCTCTGTAAAATGGATTCGATGATAAAACTGGCAAATTTAAAAGTGAATACGGTGGAATTGAGACACATGGAGCAGGCTAAGGTAACAGCACTGACGGGAACATAGGCTTGCAGTTGACAACTAAGAAGCAAGGAGCCTCAGTCCCACGAGGCTGGTCGATAGAAGTAGCCATTACACCCACATGTTTCTATCATTTTGTCTGTCAGATTTTTTTTGTATTTTCTTCCTATGGTGTATTGCTTATAAGGCGCGCTCAAAATTTTTAAAGAGGGAACACTTACGGAAATTTAAAGGCAAACCCGGAAGAGGATTTGACGATAGTACGTTGACATCGATAGGTCTTGGTTGACTCAAATGTGCAATGGCCTTGACGAAGCTCCAGAGATTCCTATACATATGCGGATCATCTGGTCGTGGGAAGTGAAGTAGATGCCGGAAACGTATTTTTAATCCCCCAGAGCGATCACTTTTACCAGAGGAGGTATCTTCTCCAGCCTCAGATGAAGAAGACGTTGAATCTTGTCCACCATCGGCTAATACAAGAATCTCCTTAGCCACTGAGCGTATTTCCCTAATTATGTTTCTCGATTCCTCCTGTTTCTCTGCATCATTTAGCATGGCGAACAACTTGGTTAATAGCTCCGGAGTACTATTGTTCTGCATATATTTGGAAGAGAATTTCGATTTAGAAAAGTTTACCTCAGTGAACCTAAGCTGCATCTCGAGTAAACCAATGATGGGACCTATTATCACTAAATCTCATCATCTAACTGTACTCGACAAAGATGAAAGGAGGTGCTACTCGTCAATAACCTCTGACAGTATTTCTCCCGTTAATTCAATTTTGAACAATCATGAATTGTATGAACGCATAATGAAAAGACACACCAGTTAAGCTGAAGAGCCAATCAAAATTCGCAACTAACCCCATCAAAACTTCCAATCTTAAAGTTCACTGTAGCTGAGATCTTCGGTGAGACATTGAACCAGGTTTGAAGGTTTTTCAACCAAGAGACTAGGTCAAGTTGATTTCGCAGGCACTGGGTGAACCATTCCACGGGTACTGAATTGGGGAACGGATCAACAATGGGATAGTCAAAGTTGCCGGCAAATTGACATAGGGTGCAGGAATACTCGGCTTGGCTACGTCGGCCGAATCTATTTTCATTCAATTGGTTGGGGCGACGACGCTTCATGTAATTTTCTTTGCAACGAGCGTGAACAAAGTGCTGGCAGCAGGAGATGAAGGTACCCTCTTCACCCACAGGACAGCGACTGACTATGAGGGGACGCGGGAACCAGGGATCGATAACATCTGGGTGCCCGGGTCCCGGTGATGAAGGTTGAGTGGCACTACCTAAATAGAGGACAAAATATTCTTGAAAATGAATAAAAAACGCTAAACCACAAACACGTTTCTTTTCGAGTTTTTCTACTCATTCAAAATATTGCTAACATCGCTGACATAACGCACTGCAAATTATCCCACATTGCGGCATTTTAGATTACTGGTAATCCCCTGTCACTCAAAGCCTATGGAGTTGGACTTCACCCGATTGGTCATATAGACAAGACAAGATAAAGGACTATGTTCACCGGCATTGTTGTAAATTAACCCATCCGCCTACCCTTCATACCCCAATTTTACGCTCACCCGCCCTAGCTACACTTCCTTTGTTCCACTCAAATAATGGACTTTAGTATTGGGATCTTTAATATTATAAATGGATTTATCAGAAGAGACAAAATTTCTGCTCGCACCTGAATGGAAACTATGCTAAGATTCCCTAAGATAGTCCTGGTTTCATGACTAGCAAACAGGTGTATTGAGACCTTCTACCAATACCTAATTTGAAGCAAATTGGGGATTGGCAAATACTATGCAAATACTCAGATTATAGTCTAAGGGTTTAATATGAAAGCGATTTCGGTTAGCAGTAGGAAGCCTAAGTTACCAATTGAGACACTGACATATACTTCTAACAGGGAGTGTATCGATGTTTAAAAATTTGTACTGTGTCACACCTGAATAAACGATAGCACTTATCGACCAGTGGTCATCTTGATTCGATTAACCCTCTCAGAAACAAATGAGAGAGAAGGTTTCTAACACCCTCAAAGAATCAAAGTTACTAATCAAATTTGCTGCAAAGAATGTGCATCCCGTCTTTCATTTAGGACACCGAGCATGTCCGAAAACCTCCTCTTTATCTGCCAAAGAAAGGGCAAATGTTTAGACACTTCTCAGTTCTGTGACTTTGGGGGGCCAATGTAGTTATTTCAAATGACAGGCGTTTTGATGGCTACCATTAGCCATTTAGCTGACTTCGGGCTTCCCAGGGGGAAGGCTCATCAAAGTAGAAGAAAGTCGAAGGGGGTAATGTGGTGTATGCAATACACCCGCCTCTAAATCAACCTGTTAAAAGAATTTATAATAAAAGAACCGGATTAACTATATTACACAGGTTTCTTTAATCAACAAAAACTTAATTATCAGTTAAACCTACATTGTATTCACTGGATAACCTCTCATTCTAAGTTAGACAGTGGTAACACTGTAATATTAAACAAAGCACAATTTCTTACTTCGCGAGCCTAGAATTTCAGTGCCTTCGATCATTTAGCAACTTTCAAGTATTAGGGGAAAATTGGGGCTAGCAAATCAATAAACCTTGGAGTGTGGATTCAATTGGAGGCACAAATCTTACATTGTGACAACTTTATTCTAACAGAGAGGAGTTGAAAATAAGTCGCGACTGATTGAGGACTCGAAGAAGGAATAATATTCGTACAGTCATATGAACTCTTCAAGAGACGTCGAAATAATTTGATTTAAATCAATATTCCATTTCCCATGAACTGAGGGAAACATCCTTTCCCCTTATTATTTATTGTGCTAACCGTTTTCAAGCTAGAGTCACGGTTGTTGGAAGCTGACTCCCATCAAAACAATGTCACTCACTGAATAGAACTTATCACATTTACCGTTAAATTAGGATTAGTAAAAGTCCTACGTTTAACCCTACAAGCACTGCTAGATGCCCGGAAAACCTATTTAAGTTAGAGAAAGCGCAATTCCACCGCTAAATTAACCAGAAAAAAGTCTTTCCAAAATTATCATCGTGTAACTGCAACTGTTTGGCCTACAATCTGACACCACCACCCAAAACAAATATCGCCACAAAATGGTCTTACCCGGATTCGATGGAGTAGTTTGATTCAAACCACTAAGAAGATACGGTAACCTGGAAAGATTGGGCTCATGAGCGCCGACAGATCCAGACACAGCACTTGTAGCAATGCCGCCCAGCGTGCGTTCAGTCTTGAATGAAAGAGAGATTTCAAGTGAATTAAGTGGTAGTTAAAGAGGTAATACAATTACGCGGTGTTAGTACAAGCTACAAGTAGAATTACAAATATTGATTCCACGAAAGCGAAATGAAAGTAAAATAGAACGGCCTCCCACAGTTGAAAAGTGAGGATTTATCGTGAACTCATTACCATGAACTCACTACCCATATGCCCTCCAGGCAATTTTTAATGTCATAATTCACGAAGCAGATCTAATTTAATAGATGCGTGAACATTGAAATTGGACTTATTTAAAGATTGGGTGGCGGCATAGGTTAAGTCTCTCAATCTTGGTGCATCAGGTTTTATGCAAATGCAACTTATTAGGGATGAGTTGAGACCTCAGTTGTTCCATCCTCAATATTCCCCCTCCCCCACCCCTTTAATCAAAACTTGTAAAATATAATCTCCGGCTTCATTCTTACACAATACCCATGCGAGTTATTCACCTTTAATTCGTTAAAAGACGAATAGTAAGACCTTCTAATATAAACCAATTGGGAAAAATAACCACACAAAATACCCGGTTTCTTAGAAGAAGAAGAATAAGAATTAAAAAGAATAGATATATACATATATATAATGTAGACTTACACAATCGGAACATTCCTTGCCCTGAATGAAGTCCATAACTTGTCCATGAGGAGGTGTGATATAGAGGACATTCGAGCGATTAGCACTGGCGTTTCCAATGAAGTTACTAGCCTCTGACATTGGAAATTCTTCCTAAAATTAACCCAGATAGAGCATTCATTTAAATTGCCGAACGGATATGGAAAAACATCCACTGCTAAACTTACGAGACACATGTTGCAGGTTACGGTCGAACGTTCCCCATTCAGCAGCTGAGAAATGCGCGATTCAACACAATTTGGTAGTAATGGACTAAAAGTGACCTGTGCAGAACCACTGGCTGCATTTTTAAGAGCCAGTAGATTGCTTGTTGGTTGTGTTGTCAGTTCAGAAGTGTCCTGTTTTAGAATGGAAATAAACAACGTATTGCGACAATTTAATGGTAGGCAATAAAACCCCAAGATTAGACTTGTTCTCACCATAGGCTGTTCGGCTTCGTTTGTCCCAGCGATGTCCTGGAAGTGGGTCTCAATAAAGCGGCGTTGCATTTGAGCCATCTTGCCCATTATATTCACGTAACGTCTCATTTTCGCCTGCTTCTGTTCGTCAGTTGAAACTGGGGTCGTGGCCTAACGGTAAACCAATAAAAATAAGTAAAAAATTGGACAGACACCGATCGTCGTATATTGCTGAGATAAGAAATACTTCAAGTTGAAAAGCCTTTCAAAAGTGGTATCAGAGTCAACACATTGTCAGAACACAGCCAATAATACATACGATAGTATGGCGCATAAGATAGAAGCCCCCCACTTAACGAACATCTTGAAGTTCAGTTTGGATGTTTTCTTTCTTGGTAGACAGATTGTTCAGCTTTATTTATGAGCAACAAATCACATTTTACTGTTAAGGAAAAGAAATTTCCAAATCGAAAGTAAAGAGAGAATACAACCGACATTGCATCTTATTTATCTCTCATCACGGCTTGAACAATTGTAAATTTGTTGTGAAGTGCTTGAAGTCTGTCGACGTCAGTTTTGACTTAAAATACTTAAATCGGGAAATAGGAGTTTAAATATTGCGTCAAAATTATAACAGTACGCAAATTTTGGCGACAATGTACTGAAATCCAATGTTGTCTCGACACCAAGCAACTGATGCTTTTTTATGCACAATTGTTACTGGGGGGCGATGAAAGTAATGGTAGCACTAGCAAATAATAATAGTCGTCTTCATTCATTAAGCTAAGGCAATATGCTGACCAATCGGAAACTTCTACCACGCATTTGATAGAATGCACGTAGAATAGTTTGCTACGTATTGCTAAAAACTACGGGAACAGTTGCACCGAGAATTCAAGGCACCATTCCTCAAAATGACCATTCCCGACTCGGCCCCACAAAGTAAGAAGAATCTCTAAAAAGGAGGAATTAAAGTGTGAGGGTGGGGGGGTTCCACCACATTCTCACTTTCGCCAGACCTGGGACCTACCAATTATCCCCTATTCAGGTCAACGGAGCACATTTCAAGAGCTCAACTAGTTGATTGGCAAAAAATGCGATCAAAGAATAACAAAAGCAATACAAATTGGTAATAAATGGTACTTAAATATTGTTATAAAATGTCACCACTATCATTCAAACATCCTTGAATCACTTTTCTAGGCACATCTTATACTTAAATCGACCACTGAAAACAGTTAGAAGTGAAGCACTTTAATACAATTACTCATCACTTTTGCTGATATTTTACGGCGATAACTACTTAAATCAAAATAAGTAGCATACCGATGTATCAGCTTCCATAGGTACAGTTTCAGTTTTGGGTTTGGCGGCCACTTCATTCCACAAGTCTACAGTCCACCTACATGGGAAAGAGGATTGATTTATAAATAAATAAAGAGGACTCTTTCTCAAGACCATCCAACAATGCAGTTCATCCATAGACTTACTTGACCAATTTCGCAACTTCTGGGTCGCGTTCAGCTGCATGTAATGCAACCAACTTAGAAAGGATGCAGTTATCACTGAAAAAGAAGAAACGTAAAAATCGAATCGACATAGGGGAAATGAAGGTGAATAAAGAACAAAATTAGGAAAATTTAAAACCCACCGTTCGTTTACAAATAGTTCAGTATTTATTTGCCTGACACTTGGATGTGTCTGAAGCCAGAACTTAGACGCAGCAAGTTTCTTAAGATCGTCATTTCTCTCTTTAAGGGGAACTGACACAACAGTTTCCATGAATGGTCGTTGTCCAGTTTCTCTGAAATTTAAAAATTTATCTAATAATTTCTACCTTAGCAAACAGGTTACCAAAATGATTTCAAAAAAGCAATCGTCTGTAAACACCTAGTCTGATCTGAATGGTCCCCCCCCCCACTGCCACTCTGTTTAAAAGTAGACCATCAAGTATATTTCGGACAGAGAGCAGATTATATATCTTCGTTAGCTTGAAGAGAATTCCCAAAAGATTCTACGAAAGGAGTTCGTATCCCAAGTACCAGATAGTTGACTCAATGCTCCTGAATTCCTGAATGTGAGAGAGACAGTCCATTCACTTCTAATATTAATAACTGGAAAGCAACGTATTACCACATTCATCTACTTGTTAAAGGGAAGAGGAGGACTCCGTTGAAATGAATCGGTGGGATCAAGACTATTGACCGACAAATTGGTAAGGGTCGACTAGGCGGAATGACTGCATAAACGAAAATAATTGCATCTAGAATATTTTTTATCGTAGTCCTCCCTCCCCTCCCTCCCTCCCTCCATCTCACTCTCCCCTTTTTATCTTTTTGAAAAAGAAGAGAATAATTACTCATCCATATACTTGCATAAGCAGACTCCACCATGGGAAAGCAGAATCCAACGCGATAGCAATAACTATTGATCTTGTGACCCCTAACCAGGCAGACCCACATACATGCTGAGGCAAATCACCTCCGGATACTTATTTTTTATGAAGCCATTAATTTTGAGAAGTTAACCTCACGAATTAATGACCTATAAACTCTTGCGAATGTTCGGAAGTTTCACAGTTAAAATAAGCCTTCAAATGTAGGGTGTGCGATAGGCTTACCTCCACGTGATGCACCCTGGGCAATGTAAACTCATACGGCAAAAAAGTCTGTTAACTGGCAGTTGACTCCTGACTTCAAACTACCATGACCCCACAGCATGTCATAGTCGACCACTTTCACAGTACTCATCTTACCTTTTCTCTGTCTTTTTGTCTGTCTGTCTCTTATATATGTGAACCACTCTTCTGTCCCCCTCTTGAATTTTTCTCATTTGGATTTTCTCCCTTCTGTGAAGTTTGAAGTCAGCTAAGGGCTAATGATAACTATCAAAACGCCTGCAATTTGAAATAAATAAATACTTTAAAATGAAGCAAGAATAATTTCGTGGCGCAAAAGGAGGTGGGGATTCAGCTGACCCGGTATTTGTGATTAACAGCTTAACACACTGAGGATATCAACAAAACCCATAATCCAGTGTCCCAATAGGTAAATCCGGAAGAGTATATTCGAAGAAATCTTTTAGTATCCAAACAGACATGGCGAAAACACCAAGTGTCAATGAACTCAACAGCATCATGATGGTCTTAAATGAGAATAGTATTTCAAAGCTAGTTGTTCTCCATCCCATGTGCGTCGTCGATCTGATTTTAATCGGTAATTATAACCGACTACTCGAAGAACAACTTGTACAAATCGAGGAATGGAACTGATTTCACGATAAAGCTTTAGCAACACATATAGTTGGACCTAAAACTAGAAGCAGACGAACTTATTGCACAGTTAGCCATATTTTATGCCTAAGTGAAATAACCCTACCCCCCCCNTGAAAAAACCCCCCCCCCCCCCCCCCCAAATAATACTAATTTACCTTAAAATAAAATTAAGAGTATGATACTCACCGATGGCCCAGTGGACGAATTAGAAGTCACCAGATCAAGACTTAGAGACGCAAACTAAATGGTGCGAATAGCTAACTACACTGGTCACTGATAACAAACAAAAACGCTGGAAAGGAAGCAAGTTTCCCAGAAAATCTTCCAATGTAAAAATTTCCAAGAATTTTCCTTAAAAAGTACCCCCCCCCCCCCCCCNCCCCCCTCCCTAGCGCCGATAGCCTAGCGGGTGAAACAGAAGTCGCCTGATCAAAATAAATAAGAATAATAGTGTTCGTGATGAGTATTTTTTCCATAATAGTTATTTTAGGTAAATAACTAAGGTGGCGCACAGCAACTTGCCTCTTTTGTAGATGCGCACTTTAACCGCTGCGCAACCGGTGCAAAGCGAATGATTTAGGGAATATCGCACTAGGTCTTTAATAAATAAATCAATATGTCAAACTATTCGGCGGTGACCTGACTTCAGATCCTTGCCGTTTAAACTTAGTTGGGCCAAAAGTACATCGTATTTCATCCATCTGCCGAAATCGGCCCCCCCCCCCTCTCTCTCCCCCCCCTTTCGCTTTACCCACTACATCATGTGAAGGCTGAACAAATGAAAATACGGGAGGAAATTTGGGGGTCACGAAGCCTTAAAAGAAGGCATATACTCCATGCAAACTTGGATATCAATCACGAAAGGGAAACCGCAAATTGACCCACGGTGTTTTGCGAAAACGCAAGGGAAATAAAAAGGCGCCAACAGATTGACCAATAGGACGAAAAGATACGGATTTTCCAGTTGAAAATGGCGATAAGGTAAGTATAGTCAAAGCGCTAATATTAATTCGGGCCTTTCGCAAGTCTTTTCTCCCTTAAAATCAAACTATCCTGCAAAATTATATGTACCAAATACGTCAAATGCACTCCCAAAACCGAATTTACTAAATAGACATATCTAAACCTTATCCTCTTCTTCCCCCTCTCTCACTCTCCTTACTGTTTTTCTACTCCGAATACTTGAAAGTTGAAGCACTCTTTTTAATGACCTTAGCAACACAAGGACTCTCTATTTCGATACTGGCTGAAAAACTGACCAATTGAGAAGTTGGACAACTACATATTGCCGCAGGATATTACTCGCATCACACCTCATTCAATAGGTGCAATATACTCACTTGAAGGCAACAGCATCTTCGTACAACGCAATAGTGACGAGATGTAGAGTAAGCTCTGTGAGTGATTCCGTCCATGGTTGTTTTGATTGCTGTTTACTGGCCAACGCCATGGATAAAAGTTGTCTTATGATGCGAACAAAAGTCTTGCAACGCATGATCTGGAGAACACCACTCATTGAAGCGTGGAAGCGACGATGTGGTCGTGGCAACGGAGGTGGAATAGGCAAGTGTTGAAAGCGCCTGCCCTCTGAATCAGAAGATTTTTGAGTCCAATTCTTCAGTATATTGATAACGTTCTCCTGTGCCTGAGGCAAAAGGAAACGAAGAGAATTAGGACAAGTAAAATACTGATTCCGACTGTGAACGATAATTATTAGTGGAATTGACATTTTAAATTATTCGTTTTAGTTCTTTTCTTTAATTTGCCAACTCCAAGACCCAGATATCTATTTCATGGTTTCCTCCTGCGAATAAAAATCCCAAAGTTCATGCCTTTTTACCAGGTTTGATACGAAGTATATCGAAACTTGGGAACAAGATAACTTTTCTTTCTTAGAGAGTCGAATAAAAGTTTCTCAATTAAGAAAATATAGGTCAATATGGTCAACTGCTCTTAAACATTGCACTCTCGATCCATTTTCAATTTAAAGGATCTTATAGAATATGCACTCAATTATAATAACTTATTGTAACTTATCGTCCAATACGGTAAGATAGACAAAATGAATAACAGTTTTCAATAAAAAAGCCATCAATATCTTACCGCTGTTCTCTCTGAAGGTTGATATCTAAAGTAGAATCGATTGAACCTTGCAGCGGCAACTTCCGGTTTAATGCTGAAGAGCTTCTGATTTCCGGTCCTTGAAGTAATTGCAACTTCACCGAGGATTTTAACCAGTGGCCTTTCGACGCGTTCTTTGCACGAAGAAGTACTAGGAGAGACTTGTAAAGAAATGACCGAAGAACTTCCAGGAACTGACTGCGATGTCGGTGGATAAGGTGGTGCTTTTCGTAAAAGACAACCAGGCATCTGAGAGGCCAAGGAAGCTGTGAGCTTCGAATGCGTCATTGACTTTATGCAAAGGGTGTGAATAACATCATCCACAAGTTGACCGTAGTGCACTTCCAGTGCCTCGTCAACGCCACCTAGTTTAGCATCGGGGAAAAGACTGGGATTTTGGGGAAGGGAATTGTAAACATCCGGATCGTAGTATGCCACACCATCAATTGTACGATGGGTTAAGATATAGAGAAGAATGCGGAGAAAGGCTTCAATAAAATGCACTCGAACCGATACTGATGTGCCGAGAAAATCCCAACTTATGAAGAACAAAGAGAGAGAGTTAATAAACCTGTATTCTCCTTACTTCTTGCGGCTTCAAACAGGATCATATAGCTTGTTATTAACTTACCGACGAGAAGAATACGACTTTTGGCTTTACGATAATTAACACATTACATTATAAACTATGCGCAAACAATCAAAAGCAAAATAAAAAAGGTTACACTTACTTCATGAGTGCAATGAGATTAAGCTTATGACAGAGTCGAACAAGAAATTCATCCGGGAGTAAAACAGCTGCAGCTTGTTGAAGGAGCTGGTAATCTCTATCAATAAGGTCAGTACGATATCGTCTGTGAATATTGAAAATCTAAAGTGAGCAAAAGGAAGAAGGGTAAGTAAACCATACAAACGATAAGGGCTAAAAAAGAGGTAAGAACCAACAAAGCTTACAATATTTCTTACGGTTTGACCGTTTCGAACCCAGAAGTTTGCAGCTGCTTGCGCTATAAATGCTACATTTTGTAGGGGTCTCTCAACAAGGCGATTCACATACTCCTAATATATAGAATAGAATAGAGAATAGTGTAAAGAAGTTGATAGAGAGAGAGATAGAGAGGGCAGTTGGGAAGCAAACCTGGTCGGTAAGTCCGAGTCTGGTAAGCGAAATGCCCATTTCAAGTGCATGACCATAAAGAGCAGCTAGTAGACGCGGTAGCGGTTGCATCGGACTGTATCGCATTGACATGATGTCGTAGTCATAGACAACCGATGTGGCACCAACACAATGGACTGAAAGTTCATTTTTAGGCATTTCCCCGAAATTCGCGTAGCCTGTGTATTCTCTCACATGGAAACACCTGTCAATTATGCCGACACGACGTTCATACATCTAGAGTAACAGAGAATAGCTTAGTGGAAGTAAGAATCTTACATCTTTAGCTGCCTCAATACATTGCAGAAGGAGTTTCTTGTCCGTACTGGCCACTTGAATGGTGCATTCCAGGCACTTGTGAATATTTGACAAAATTTGGAAGGTGCTGAGCCATTCGCTTTCAATCTCCACATGGCTGACAGTAGCACGATACAGGCTATTCATATCCTTTATAAAAGAAAATTTTACGCCTGTGAGGTTTAGGAAACACTGTACTTCCACATGAAAACGCGTATTGAGAAATAAATTACGATGGAATAAACGAAGCAAAAATTTGTCTCACATCCCATTGGTATTATTTGTATTTACACATGCTCTAACCTCCTGGACAAAAAAATAGGCGAACCGATAGCTTAGTCATAAACTAAGACACGGAGATGTTAATGCTTAGGTGGAATTTGTGGCTAGATTATTTCAAACCACTTTGACTATGGCAGCTTGATAGGTATAAAAGTAAAAAGCCAATTCAAGAATTTGGCTGGAGTACAGCACGGTAGAGAGATAACAAGTTCAAAACCCGTTAGTCAGTCAGTCAGTGCATATCTATTGATTGAAAGGATCAAACACATTAGCCATGACGCAGTGGCAGAGCCTCTCAATTTAACGAAAGTGGATATTAGGAAACCCCGCATCAATTGGATCGAGCACACATGTGACATTTTTAGATGGAAATCTAGTCAAAAGAATGAAGAATTCTGGGTGGAATATTACCTGCTGAAAAAGGCCGAATAATAAAATCAGTTTCAATCGGCTCGAATAGTGCATAGGGGGACGAAACAAAAGAGACAGACGCCATTTGACTATACGCCTTTCTTAGTGTTTTCACCTTCAATTCCTCTTATGATGCGCGCCCCCCTTATCCTGATAAATCAAATTTCATACTTCACAATTAAAAGTAAGAATTGTCACTGAACAGAAAATAAGGAGATTCACTCAAGGTTGCAAATGCTGCCTACATTGTGTAAATAATATAAATATATCTGAATGCAGAAGGGAAGAACATATGAAATGACTGAAAACCTAATCAAAAACGGAAACCTTGTTTTCTTTCTTGCTTTACAACTACTCATTGGATCGCTTTCCAATTTGTTTGTAAACTCAGCCGCGAAAATTTTGCTATGGGTAAGGATAGTAGAAAAATAAAGGACAAAGCACATACCTGAACCAAGCAAAAGTACCTCAGTAGCTCACTGAAGTAGTTCATGAAGTTTTGCCTGGCTATTTCAGTCCACCAACCAGGAATAGGTCGTATATTGAGTAGACTTGTAAGCACATAGCCAACATCGTGACTCACGCTTCCGATGAGTCTCTCAAATGGATGAAAATTAGAATTGCTATCGAGCGGGGAACTGCTCCACTTCAAACACAACATATCCTCGCATGATGGCTTGTCGTTGAGCAACGCTCGCATTGCCGCCCAGGCACGGGAATTGGCAAATTTGTGAGATTTCATGACGTTCAAAACGGAGGAAGATTGTATGATGGGTGGGGGAAGAGAACTATTACAGAATTGGGCGGATATGGTCTTGTTGCTGTCATTGCTTTCATAAATACTGGGGAGAAGGCTAGAACTTGATTTTATCGCCAACACCGAGCGTTTGAACATACGCGCAAGAGCGTCACACTCGACCAGAAGATAACGAGCCTGTAAGTAAAATGAGAAAGACGGTGACTGGCTCTTTTAAAGGAGAAAGTAGAAAGGCGTCAATCCACACTTACAATTCTTCGAGCCTTAGGACGCCAAAAAACTCACAGAAAGATGAGTAGAAAACATGATTAAAGACAAGGGATTGTGACGCGTACATACCGTTACACAATTGCGTAAAAAATGCGATATTCGACTGAACCCAATAAAGTAGAGCTAGACCACTTAATAAAATGACTTTCAAATATACACACTATGTTAAGACATATTAAAGCAACATTGTCGTATAATACAAAGTCCACTTACGAATAAAGAGAGTACACAACATATTATTCGGACAAGCATGACTATTCTAGGAGTACAATTTTGGGAGATTTAACTCAGGTGATTGAGGAAGTTTAAGTTGTCGCTACCCAGAGCTCAAAGACGAGCAAGACATCGAATATGTGACCTTTCAACCGAAATGAGCAAGAGAAAAGCACAGAACCACCAGCTTCATTACTAACAGGTACCATCTCCGTGCTCAGATGCTTTGTCTTACAGTGGGCGAAAAATTATCATTCCAACTATTATTTTTCACCTAAAATGGACTGACAATACTTATTGGATTGTAACTTCCAATAGAGCGTGAAGAAGTCATATAAAGTGAATTTCGACTTTATTAATAAATAACATACCTTGGGAACCGTGACGTACACACCCAATTAAAGCCTAATACAAAACTTAAGACTGCAAATGATTTGAAATGAGTAAAATCATCGTTTTTGCACAATTTCCACTAATGGTGCTACTACATTTCAAAAGAACGACTTTAACAGGTGCAAATTATATGACCTTCTGCTAAATCTTTTCAATTATTCTCACAACTGATCCAAGATACGCCAGCATAAAACAAACTCGTGTTTTTGGGTTAAAAGTTTTCCGCTTCCTACCCCTATAGGGGTCAAGTAGAGATACTCTGATGGTACCTGCTTACCTAAATGGCCTCATTTCTCAACCATTAATGAGGGACATTGTATTTGAATAATAAAAGTGCATAATGACAACGCAAAGACGAGTTTTCACAAGTAACCAAAAGAAAAGCACCAAAACATCGTAACATACCAAACTAGCAGCAGTCAGAAATTGGCAGGACATAGAGATGAGTGAATCCGAATGCAAGTGGTCATCGTAGACGTAGCCTTGCATGATTTCCCCATAGAACTATAAAGAAGGAGGGGGGGGGGGGGGGGGGGGGGGAAGAGAGATAAGATGTTAGAAATCAAAAAGATGGCAACATTTTAAGAAATCTATGCAAACATTTATGCCTCACAGAAATGTAGGTGTGTGCAAACACACGACGATGGAAAGACTCTTGTAGTAGAACACTGGCAATTAGTCGGGAGACAGTTTTACGAGTTGCTAAAATTAGAAATGAATGCAACCAAGGTTGCATAATCAGTTTCATAAAGACTTCTTATAACTCAGGTACACCAAAAGCGATAAAAAATCCCAGATAAGTACGAAAAATCAATAGGCATAATAATGTATTAAATAAAAAACGAGACTCTTGACTATTCAGTGGAAAGTAAAACTGCTAAGAGACAGCGATATTATACAATAGTAGAGTTGAATTATTTCTCCATAGTGAATCATAGAACCTTGGGCTTTGTGGTAGAGTTTTAGACGGTCTTTGCGTTGATTTGAACACGTGCTTTGGTGAAAATACGTGTCAACACCCTTCGTTCTTGAGCAATCAATTAATTAATTTCGGGGGAAAAATATTAAATGTTGTTGCCTTAATAATAATATCTTTTTTTATCATAAGTGTACTTTTTTGTATTGAAAAAAAACGCTTCTTCTCGACCCTCTCTACCGTTACTTTTCGTGGTCATATTAGAATATTCCAGTTAGAATTAAGCTAATAGTGCTATGATAAAGTGACACGTTATTGAACATTCAATCATCCTATACATCAGTATCTGTAGTGGTAAGATGAGGTCCGGACATAACGCCAATCACCTGCTTTGGTCAGAATAAACCAATTCGCCTGCTAAATCAGAACACTACGTGTGTTAAAAGACATTCATTCAATGGAACACAGAGGGGACTCGGAGTTCGAATTGCCAAAAAAGAAGAAACAATGAATCGCGGTAGCAAAAAACCAACCAACCACCAATCACTGAAGTCGATTGATTAGCAGACACAAATATCGTGAGCAAATCAACCAAGAGCAAAAAAATCATGAAAAACGCACATTCACATCACAATGTGCTTCCATGGGAAATATGGACTACGAAGAACTTTACTAACGCAGGTTTATTGATGTCCAAGCTCCATAGATTTCCTTGTGTTGACCTTCTCCCCCCCCCCCCCCCCCCAACTTCAACACCTTATTTGGATCGTTCGATATTCCAATCACAGTGTGTGCGATAGACTTACCTCCACGTGGTGCACCCGTTTACTCAAACGGCAAAAGTCAATCGACCGGCAGTTGACTTCTTACTTCAAATTACCATCACCCCACTGTGTGTCATATTCGACTTCTTCCACAGTGCTCACCTCACCTTTTGTCCACATTTGTGTCTGTCTCTTTTGCTTTTTTAAACACTCTCCTGTTCCTCCCCGCCCTCTCGACTTTTTTTCACTTTGATGTTCCTTCCCTTCTATGAAGCCTGAAGTCAACTAAAGGGCTAATAATAACTATCAAGACGCCTGCCATTTGATATAAAAAAATTAAATATTCCAATCACTCCAATGCTTTAGCATGATTAAAGCTAGTAAGAGTTGACTTCGGCCTGGCTATGACTAATTAGATAAAACAGTACATCACACGATTGGTCCTTCCACTGGACATCGGGATCAATGACTCATGAGAGTTCATAAGACTGCGCGTTTACCACTGAGTTTCCGATGCAAGGCAAACAATATATAGTCAATCCATCAAAATTCGCATTTAGACGCAAAATAATTTACTAATATGCTAGAGCACAACACATACCCCTATGAGTAAGGGAGTATCGTTGGCAAATATGCCAAACAAAACTGTGGGGTGTCATCATTTCGGCAGTAGGATGGACCTCTGCCGTGACAGCGTCGGTGGAGGATAGGTCCGGAAAGCGTCCATATAAAGCGTTGCCGATGAGTGGACGCAAAGGCAAAACCTTGCAGGCCAAACGCTCCAACCAACGCAGCACATTGATGAAAAAGTCCTCCAGTGCGTACACTGTACTCTCCATTACTGCTGCACGCAAGGGTCGATTAAAATGACGAGATCCTGGTGACTACAATGGTAACAAATAAGAGCAAATCAGGAAGATAAACTTGGAAAGAACCTGTCGACTGGTTCCGCATTTACTCACTTCCGTGTCCTAAGTCATGCTCTATTAACATTTCGTACGAGCGATGGATACGCAAAAGACGGGCCCTCTATCACCCACGAATGCAATCATCTGAGTGGACAGAAATTATGGTTGGTGATAGAGAGATCATACACTTACTCACTATTCCTATTCAATCTTGCTGTCTAAGCATTACACTGAATGACGATTAACAAGGGGAAGTAAGATAACCAAGGATGAGGAAAGCGATCAACCGTTCAAAATTGTACTAAACGAGGTTGAACTTAAAATAACTGGTAGTGGAAATGCATTAGCCTTAATTCTCATTAACCCTTGTTTGTCACCTAAAAATAAGGGCCGTTCTTTATTCCGTCTAATGATCGACAAGCCGAAGAAGTCCTCGTCCGCCCCCCACCCAACACTTCCGTTTATTAACTAACCTGGTTTGTTTTTAAGCCATAGGAGTTGACCAGACATCAGTTTTAGTTTGAGGGATAGATTGTGGCGTTGCTACGCAAGTCATCATCCGCAGAATGAATAATAAATCTTTTTTATTCGTGCATCTAAGAGAGTAAATCAGCCAATAGTTGTAGGGTGTGTTGAAAGAACGTAGTATTTGATTTACTGGTTAGCTAATTTTAATCTGTGATTGGATGGCAGCGAATAGTCAAGGGCATGAAATGGATTTGAAAGGAATGGCAAAATTGCTAGCAAGGCAAAAAAATTAGTGACAGCGCTTTTTTTACAAATCCGCTGGCAATCAAAAAATGAACTGGAGATAAGCCAAAGCCGAATTAGAGAAGTGTTCACATTGACAGGTGTCCCAGAGCCAATCGTAGGGGAAGCTTTCTGACTAATGGCTATAGGGGGTATGGATCACCAGCACCACATTATGTATTTCGTTGAATAACCAGCAAATTCGCCCAACCTAGCCTATCAGAAGACCGCAAATAAGGTATATTCTATTACTGATGAAAAGATTTGTGCTTGAACGGGTGCTATAAGTGTTTCAGTGTGTAAATGTACGAAGATGTATCATATTATGTAGGTATCATGGAACCGAGTTATTTCCCTGGAAGAAGAACAATTCAAATGCTTCATTTTCATGAAATTCTACGAAGATGTGTTCCCTTCTAAGACAGGGAACCGGATACCAAGAAGTCGCGTCGCCGACCCATGTCTGTTGAAGGACCGTGAATAGCTAGAGCGTTCAGCCTGAAATAGCTTGAAAATTACTGACAATGTGTATGAAACGATGGGATCGCTCTCAGACCGACATAAACATGAAGAAGTCACATCTCTAGGGCATAAATTTTACCGAAAAGTAGACAGCTTTATAATAGAAACCACCTGCGAGTTTATAATGAAAATTGAAACAAAGACGGCTCCTGTCGGCAATTTTCTACTTAGCAGGAACCGAACAATAGTGTTTAACTCAGACCAGACAGAGCGGGTAAACTAAAAGTTTATAGATACAAAAGAAACACGTTTGCAAAAGCAATTGAGCTTCAAGCTGAGGCTGGTTCGGTATCACCAAAATGCGACTTAAAGCGCATACATGTCTTGGGTTAGGGTGCGTCTTGGCTCAGATCTTTGTTCCTCTTGGACAAGGGAACGGATACAAAATCCTAAAGCATAGAGGAGTACTTTACGGTGGCCTAAAGAGAGACACGAGCCGGTTATAGCAAATAGACTGCTCTCAGCATTATGAAACTGTAGCTAAGATGCAAGGAAAAACAAGGAAATCATCTAAATTTTAAGTTGACAGGCCACACTGATAGACACTATTCCAATCTCGTTGGAATTAAGCCCTGAAATAATTTCCAAACCCATTTACGTCCACGAATTATTTATAGCAGAAGTATAACGGTGACCAATGCGAGTTTAAAAGTCAAATCCTTAGACATGAACCTCGCATATAATCAGAGCATAATATAAGTAAATACACCTTACTGAGCTCTGTTAACTGAACGCGCAACAATTTCGCCTTCGCAATGTTGAAATTACAAGATATCAATTATCAGGTAAGACTATTTTGTTATCTTATCCATTGGTAGAATTTGAAGCAGATTAGGCGAGCCTTTTTGATTAAGGCTTTAATGCCTGAATTATTTTTTTTAAAATACACCCAACCGCACTCGTGAGTGTCTTGCAGCAGACTGATGCCGCCGGCGTGATGAGATTTGGTGGCAAAAGTTGAAGGCTATAGACACGTGTTGAACATGTTTCTCAAACGGCAACAGGGCCTTCTGTTATGAGTCTAGTACCAATGAAGCTTATTTTGAAAGGGAACGCCACTATCCTAAGAACGCTAAGAGGTTAAAGCTCATACAATAGGTAGAGGGGCTTAGTAGAAAAAAGTACTTGGCGCAAACCAGAAGGACGAATCATAAAATTTTAACCTTTAGACTTGAGTACACAAGTCATAAGTACAGTGACCATTGTACAAATCTAAACCAAAATTCAAATGAATCAAAACTCTTTAATACCTTGACTTGGCACTTTCCGTTCCCCCCCCCCACAATCATTTATTGGACTTTTTGTTAAGCAGCTTGTAATATTGCTTGCGGTAAGGACAAAGTCAGGGTGGGGTGTGGAGTGGAGTGGAGGGGCGGGGGTAAACTGATGAAAGCACAATTCAAATTATTGCTCCTGAAGCTCAGACCTCATGAGTAATGGGCCTTACTTTGCCTCATTTTCTATAAGAGGGGATTTCGGGGGGGGGGGGGGTGTTAGGGCAGACTAATGCATGCAAATTTCAGCAACCTTGTATCGTAAAAATTTTAAATTCCAAACCTCTTTAACAATTAAACCACTACAATAAATCATCGAAACAGTAGTATACTATATTTGTCGGCTTTCATACCTATAAATATAAATACCTTCCTATTTTTTGTACATCAAACTTATTATTACCGATCTTAAAGAACACTGTGCCAATGAATGTTGCTACGATTATAACCGACTCTTGAGAAAAAAGGCAATAAAAACAGAAGTAGGAACCCATTTCATGAAAACATGCATCCAATGAGGCGAACCGAACCATGACCCAACCTGTTTCATACCCTCACATATATCTAGTAAATATAATGGTGAAATCAATACGACCTCTTTTGGAACCTACTAATAGAGGACCCAGTACAGGCTTTATAAACATTCATTTTTAAGCTTTACAAAACTGAAGTCTAACTAAAAATAAGCAATAGTTGAGTCTCGAAAAAAATTGGCCTATATATCATTGCCTTTAATCAAACTCAAGGTTAGACAAAAGAGGGGAATATAGATAATTCAAAGTCTATTTAAAGAGGTTCACAAAAAAACGTTTCTCTTCAAAGGAATTAGAACGAGTTTAGAACGTTCTTTTTATTCGAAATAAACAGCAAAAGCAGAACATATGTTTCAAGGTCAAAGATTAATCCCAAAAAATCAACAACACAACAGATATTCACATCCTCGACCGAAAGCTATTAGCAAGATATCGAATTAAGTGGAATAGGGAAAAGTATGATTACAAATTAAATATTCTATAATTTATGCTATTTTTTAATATTATTTCTCGGGTCTAACATTTTACTTAAGAAAATCAATTCGAATATGCACTTTTTAGGCAATCAGGAACTTACGGCTTAATAAGAACTTCCATAATTGAGAGATTGATTACAAGACAGGTCATTAATAGTAGCATACTGTAGAAAAATAAGATAAATAATTAATTCGATGCACGAGGTAGGGAGAAGCCAGGGAACTTTGTCTAGATGTACCGAAAATATTGAAATCGGTTTTCTGACAATAATCAAGACAAGGGTTCGCTATCAGAAATAGAACCAAATATTGGCGAGGAAGAGGTGCTACAAAAGTGCGATTTCTTTAAAGAACACGCGGATGGAAATAAGCGAAATACAGTACAACCGATGGGTATTCACACGTTTTGAATGTGCTAACTTTGGATTAGAGTGGACAAAAATGAGTACACTAAACTGAAATGTGAAGGTCACATGATTCTGAATCATTAGACAATGCAGACTCTAAGGTCACAGATACCAGGCGATAAAGGGGGGGGGAGGTAAAAACGAAGATACCAACACTACCACTAAGCAGTATGTTCACTATAACTCCGATTATAAACTGCAACCAGGGTCGATCACGTAAAGACAAACATTCAAATCATAAAAGAGTCAAAATCAGTGAAAAATTGAATCCCAGTCTTTACAAAAGCTTGTGACTGGCGAGGTTGAGTAATTACTCAAACATCGCTCAAACCCAAGTGATAAAAAAGTTGGATTTATTGAAATTCGAAGGTCAACGAGTTCATAGTCAAATTCGAGGTCACGTGGTCATTGATGTGGATGAGTTCCTCATAAACGCGACTCCAAAATATCATACGACCACCAAATCAAGAGTTGCCCAAACTTAGCTTAATGGGATTTAGGAAGCTGCCAAGCAAATCCTATACTTAAACCATCACCAAAATTCGAAACTTTGAAGGTAAGTTCAAATTCCTCATCGGTGCATATGCTTACTTCTACTCACAGAAAATGGAGATTAACCATAAAATACACGATCTGCTTGCAAAAAAAGTTCCCAATCTTTACTCCAAAAAGAGTCCCGGATTAAAATTAACTTTAATTTGCACCTCTTTTCAAATGGGGAGATTCAAAATCCAGCACACGTTTTTTTACAATGACATAGCATAAAAAGGAACTCGTTTATCAAAACCTGCTATAGTTTAGTCTACTTTCGCGTAGGGCTAAAATTAGCAAAATTGTAAAGAAACAGAGCGAAAAGGAGTGGACAGGAGTGAGAGAGATAGAAAAAAAGATAGATCCCAAAAAGGAAATCTAATGGAAGAAATTAGATTAAAGGAAAACTTAAAATATGATTAGGGAATCAGTAAGTAAAAACTTATGCCAACAGAGGGACACAAAAAATGTAACTCTACAAGAACGGTTGTGCCAAAATCTTGACCAATACGATTCAACTTTTAGGGACCAAACAAGTGAAATATTCCATCCAGCATAGGACATGATTAAATTGAAGATATATTTTTACAACAACTCTCGTCTACTTATCTTCAAACGTAAGGATAGGTGGTGCGTACATATCGTTTCAACGGATCTGCTTTTCAATAAGTGAACTAAAGGAATCTAATCACTAGTTTGAGTACAACTCGGTGCACTTGCTTCACACACCAGCTGCAAGTCTAACGCAGTTGAGACATAAAATCTTTTCGACTTTGTTACTAGGATAAATCGTCACCCATGTAATTTGTCACAGTTTTCCGATTTAACAGGACTTTGATATTTCACCTTAAGTTAAGAGCAGGGTATATTATTGAAATATTTCCTCTCTTGATGTTCTGTCCGCATAAAACTAAGCAATAAAACTCCATTCTATTCTAATCCAATCAGATCTCTCAAATTATTCTCCCCATTTTCTAACTTTGAGACGGAAAGTTAGTGGCACGAGGTAGTTTGGGATTTAATCACCTTAGCCTTTACAGTTAGTAGGCATAGTGATAATTTGCATTACTAACCTGATTGATGGTAAAACTACGAAATAATAAAACCACTCGCCTCCGACCATACCCAGCGATTTAGTCTCCATTCCAATAACCTCAGATGTGGACTATGATACTCAAGACCTTCCTTTGACACAACAAATTGCATTATTGACTTGCCCCTACTCTCAAATCCCTCCCCCCCCCCCGGCTGGTTTGTTTAGTTAGTTGCAAGCTGGAAAAAGATACAAAGATGTGATGAAGTAAAGCCCTACTCCTTGTGGGATTGAATGAGCTTTGTGTAAGTGGTTGCAATGTGTTGTGTGGACAAGTTGCCAAAACTAAGGCGGCCACACGGGTTAGCAAATGCAACATGTAGATCTAGTAATAGCAACACACTTCCAGAACATATTACAAACTGAAACTATTCATTTAAAAAAGTATACAAGATATCGTCAGATTATGGAAATTGAATGAATACTCACCGCCACACGAGAAGCTTTTGAGGCAGCGTTATCCAGTGTTAGATTGGTAAGGATCGGTGTTCTCCCTTCCCGATTGACAATCACTGCATAGAGAGTAGCCTGTTTTGAAGTGCATCCGTCCACACGTCGAACAATCCTAATGACGTCCTCGTAGTTGTGGAATTCGTTATTATACAACGCTACCACGTAGTCCTTGCAGGTTTGAGCAGCGGCATTACGACAAGCCGTCAATGCTGTCAAGGGAAAAAGTACCGGATGCAGACGGTGTGCTCTGGCCATTTGGTCCAAACACCGGCGAGTTATATTCAGCTGATCATGGAGTTTGGGACATGTGCGAGGGAAAGCAGTGAGACCAAGAGTGCTTGCGTCAAGGTCTGCGTTGGCGTTGGTGAGGTGGGATAGTGCTGGTGGCCATTCGTCCTCTTCAAAGGGTTTGTCAAACTCCTCATCGGCATCTATAGTCTGATTGGGGTCTGTAGACAGAGGAGTGACTTCCATTGGTCTTGTGGCCTAAATGTGAAAAAAGAAGAGATAAGTAACCGTGCAACTTAAAATTGTCAATATAGAAGAAAATTGTCCTAATATCAAGTGCCTAAACTTTGATTCCTGAGTTCAAAGCGCCCCAGATCGTAGATGGATAGTCATATCGAATTTCTTAAATAGGAGATGCGCAATAGACTTATCTCCACGTGGCGCACCTTGGGCAATGCACACTCATATGGCAAAAAAGGTCGCTGACTTCTGACATCAAACTACCATAACCCGACTGTATGTCATACTCGACCACTTCCATAGTACTCACCTTATCTATTTCTCTAACTTTGTCTCTTTTACGTCTATGAATTACTCTTCTGTTTGTGATTTTGATTTTCCTCATCTCTGTAGGGCCCCAATTCGACCAAAGGGCTAATGATAACTATCGTAAAGCCTGCGATTTGATATAAATAAACTTAATATTTACGATTTAGTCAGTTTATATAAATAAGAGCGTTTCCGAAACTGTTGGGGATAAGAAAGTTCGTAATATCTATACTAAGGGGATTCAGAAGTGCTTAGACATCGGTCATTATGCAAACACGGTAATACACATATGATTTGGATTAACCCGATATCGATTGCGATTACTTTGTCATACTAAACACAATACCCTAAGACGTACTCTAATCAAGACGTATTCTCTCGATTTTTCAAAGATTGGAAGCGACTGACAGTGCGCGAAGAAACGGCATCATATACACCTAATAACTTAATCAATAAATTATAACAACTTACCACCTGCCCTCAAAATGTTCCAAGAACAGAAGTGATCTAACTCATTCCTCTACTGAAATTAGTGTATAACTCGATGTCCATAAATGCCAAATAAGTACGAAGGAAGACACCCATCTTTCAATATAATGCGACAACAAATATTGAAGGAAATACGTGAGATTAGATAAACACTAATAAGGGCACGCAGAACTTTCAACACATCTTATAATTAGCTAAACATGAGCAAATCATGATAACGGTGATAACTATTATTAAAGCATTCATCCACTTGCACTCACTTGTAAAAGTTGGAAGAGCACAATTGAGGCGCTTTCGATGAGAGGCTTTAGAAGGTAAGTCAGACGACGAATCAGATCCTGGGGAAGTTTAGAGAGTTGGGAATTTACTTCTTCAATCTCCAACTTCTCTTCCTCTTCAATTGAGCGAGCGAAGAAGACTTCGTCCTCCACATTCCCGTCTTCCTCTCCATTACCTCTGTGAAGATTGCACCAAGCTCCCGTCTTCCAGGCTTCAGGATCACCGCAATCACAATAACCACCAGAAGATTGACGCATCTAGAAATGTAAAAGTGTAAAATTTACCTAACTAGGTTTTCAAATATTATTATTATTATTATATCAAATGGCAGGCGTCTTGATGGTTATCATTAGCCCTTTAGTTGACTTCAGGCTTCACAGAGAGGAAGGTACATCAAATTGAAAAAAGTCGAGAGGGGAGGGGGAACAGAAGAGTGTTTCAAAGATGTAAAAGAGACAGACACAAAGGTAGAAAAGGTGAGGTGAGAACTTTGGAAGTAGACGAATATGACATACAGTGGGGTCATGGCAGTTTGAAGTCAGAAGTCAACTGCCGAATAATAGACTTTTTGCCGTATGAGTATACGTTGCCCAGGGTGCACCACGTGGAGGTAAGTCTATCTGTGAGATATCAAACGAAGGTTCTCTGGAGAGACTAACCAAGATATTAACCACTGAATTAGCACGAATAGATTATAACAATCATAGAATCAAAAACGGTGATCATGCTCAAAGTAGAAATTTACATTTGGAGTTTTTTAATCACCAAACGAAATTGTTAAGTGGGCGTCTAAGAGCATTTTTTCTCCTATAAAGACACCAATTTGGAAAAAAGCAATAAAACTAGCAGCAAGTAGCTTTCTGAAAGCAGAAAAGAACATAAGCATATTAACATTTTAAAAAATAACGTT